GCCTTGGACTCAGTGGGATTGTGTAGACTTAGCAGTGGGTTGTGTTGGGCGGGCCTTGGACTCAGTGGGATTGTGTAGACTTAGCAGTGGGTTGGGTTGGGCGGGCCTTGGACTCAGTGGGATTGTGTAGACTTAGCAGTGGCCCAGAATTTTTGTGGCTATTGTTACCACAACTTAACGCTTCTATCTCCAGGAGTTTTTGTTGCTGGCTATGGAAGCCTGAAAAAAAATGAGATTCTTCATCTGATGTTACCTCTCAGACTTTCTGTGAAGGAAAACCAGGTAACTTGAATACAAATAGAAATATGCGTCTACTTTTATTCATTTGTTAAACATTTATGGAGATTGCCCTGGATACTGGGGAGCGGGGAACGGAGGAGACTTAAATCTGAGGAAGTCAGATACACACAGAGGTAAATGGTATAGAATGTTCCATGGTTAATTTATCAAATTCAGATTTAGGGGGACACTAGTCTATAGGTGCTCTGGTAGCGTAGTGGTTATGAATCGGGCTGCGAACCACAAGGTCAGCAGTTCAAAACTACCAGCTATTTGTTCCATGGGAGAAAGAGGAGGCTCTCTGCTCCCATAAAGATTTACAGCCTCGGAAACCCCGTATGGGGTCGCAATGAGTCAGAACCGACTCCATGGCACATAACCACCACCACCAGTCTGTAGAGCATTGTTGAACCCTTAGAATGGATAAGCTCACCTAGGATTAATATGTAGTATATAAAGATTAAGAAGAAAACAAGACTAAAGAGAGAACTTCAGGGGACACATTTAAGGGATGCACAAAGGAAGAGAAACCCACAAGGAATACTGAAAAGAATTAGTCTCTGAAGTAGGAGGAGTCTCAGAAAAGGTCAGTGTTTCAGAAGCCAAAAGAGCACCTCAAGAAGAAACAAATGGGTAGCTTTCTGGTGTTGCCATGAAACCATTCCAATGAGAATTGAGTAGCTCATCCACTAGACTCGGAAACCCTTTGACCTTTGCCAGAGCATTTGTGCTTGTGGGGTCAGGGCAACAGACTGAAAAGGAGGAAATGGAGTCAGAAAGTATAGGGAGGGAAGCACCTAGAGTAGTAACTATGTAGGAAGCACAGCTCTGATTTTGCTCAAGAAAGTGGCTTGAGCAGAGATAGAAGCTGTGGGTAAGTTGTCCCTGACAAAGGTTAGGGTGGAAATACAGGGGTGATCCAGGGAACATCAGGATTGGAGGATGACCTATTAACCTGCGATATGCAGATGATACAACCTTGCTTGCTGAAAGTGAAGAGGACTTAAAATACTGATGAAGATCAAAGAACACAGCCT